TAATTTAGTTATTTTTTTTATTTACTTTTGCTATATTTAGTTCGTAAATTATACAATATAAACATTTTCGGTGTCAATAAAAAATTATATAAGCCACATTTTTTTTTTGTAGATTATTGAAAATATTATATTGGCAATAATTAATGAGTAATCTTTATTATAGGAGAGGAAAATAAATAAGTATATTATAGGGGTGCGATTTATTTGTAAAAGATTAGATATACATAGGTACATTTAGGTACAAACATTATTATATTTGGTTATGTAATTGGAATTCTTAATAAAAATTTTTCCATTTATTTTTACAATTATTTTGTAAATTTTGAAATATTTTGGTAAAAATAAATATTGCTTAATAACACAAAATGACAACAGCGAATTATTTTTAATATAAAGTAGGTATACGGAAAATATTATTTGACAATAATTTCTTTTATTCTAAAATTTTTAATAAAATAAACGGCGCCAAATTTAATTCATCCTTGTTAAAAAGTTTTTTTTTTTTGATGCACAGGTTCTTGAAATATATTTCAATAATAATTACATACTTATTATGCTATACATATATGTATATGCACATATAGTTAAAATAAATACATTTGTAATTTTAAGTATATTTTGTACAATGCATAGAAATTATTAACCCTTAAATGCATACATATGTATGTATGTCTTTTTTAGATTTTAATTTCGACGGAGATTTTTATTGTTTAAATCAGTAGAATTTTAATTTTCCGATATTCTTTTTACTAAATTTTGAGATTTTCTTAATAATGAATTCAGTTAAGCCAGTTTGTTTATTTTTATATGTACATTAATATAAAAATTAAATAACAGTATTTCTAAATTATGACAGTAATTACAATATGAATTATAAAATATGAGAAATTAATTTTAAATAAAACTAAAAAATAATTTTTGGTTTAAATGTTAGCAAGACAACATAAAATAGTTTTGTTTTTATGCCAGTTTAGAAGTTCGACTGTATTTCAATTCATTCAATTATTTATTTTCTACTGATACTACTATATTATATATTATAAGATATTAATTTGCATTCATATAAATAACTTGGAAATGCTTAGGTACAATTTTTAGTAATAGAATTTTATAAATAAAGCATGAATTGGTGATATCTAATCTTTTCCTTTTATTACGAATAACCTAAATTATATTACGTATAGGAAAAATTATAATTATAAATAATTCAATTATGTATACCTATACATTTTCTTTTATATGAAAATATTAACTATCATTAATCATAAAATTTTAATAATCAATGTTATAAATTTAATGCAGTGATTATAGCTTTCACAGAACTGTTATCGAAGTGGTATTAAATAATCACTAGAATTATTTCACATATTACTAGAGAATGATATTATTACCTTTTGCTTGTATGGTTCTGCGAACATTCACTCAGTACTTAGTTTTGCATTAAACAGAAACCCTAATTTTAAGTGGCAGAAATTAGTTCTGTTTGTATTCTATAATTCTGAATTAAATTCTTATGAAAACTGATAAGTATGTAAATTGTTGTTTATGTTGTAAGAGAATATTTTAAATTTGAATCATGATTAATTTCAAGTTCAAAGTACAAAACAAATTTTAATAATCATATCGCATCGTTTAATAATTAAAAAAATAATTAATAATAATTTGATTAAATTTTTTTTTTACTAAGTCTCAGAATTCAATTACAATTTTTGCATTCCTACTGTTTTGTTATGACTATTTATATGATAACTTAAAAATACACCCAAAAGAAATTGAAAAATTCTTATCTCAAATTAACATTACAGCTATAATTAAAATAAGAATGATTAAAGTGCACACATTAATGGGTTAAATTTTAATTATATGTTTAGGTGATTATATGATTTTGAATTACATTAATATAGAAACGTTTACTCAGAGTATACAGTCAGAATATATAAGAAGAACGTGAGTCAAAATAAGAAAATTTGTTATAAAAGTCAGACAATTTCATTCTGTTTAAGCTTTATTTTGTGATAACAATTTTCATTTCCTCTAATAATGCGATTGTTGAATTAAAACTTTAGTCATATTACGTTTTTTTTAAATAAATTACTTGTGGAAGAATTTCAAGTTCAAAAATTAAAAAAAAAATAATGTCAAAGATCCTTTAAAAAGAGATATGAATATAAAAAATTTTAAAGCACGATACAATTAGAACAGATAATTGGGTGAAATTCGTATATGGTTAAATTGGTTGAATTCTGATCAAATTCTTCATTTAGTAGATTTCAAATAAATTTGTTTTTATTTTTTTGATTGAATTGAATTCTATTAAAAGAAAATATCAATGCGGTCTGCACATGACCGGTCGCAAGGTTTATTGTCTAGTTTAGCGAAAATGTTGCACAAGATTATAAAAATATCTATTAAACACTTCCTTCAATTTTATAATGATACCAGAAAACTTTTAGATAACATACCAAGAAAAATGTAGTTTTGATTCTAGTTAGAAGACATTCACTTTGTGCCTACCGATTTCCCTGAAAAGTTGATCAGTCTCTTCGGTAGCGAACAACAGCCTGAATTTATATATAATTTAAATTTCAAAATTAGTTGATTATTTTTCTTTATATCAAGCAGATCGACAGACCGACATCTGGCTGGAAATAGTTTAATTACACTTCTATACTATGCAGAATAGTGCATTTCTATCAAAAACTCGATAAGCGAGATTTGGTGTAATCTTATTACCTCCTTTATAGTAGCAATAACGGTCTTTAAAAATTTTTTAATAAAATCACTCAAATATACCCAAATATTTATTAGAAAATTAATTCGTAAAAGTAAACAAATCCTCCCAATGAAATTGAAAATATGTTGCTAACCCAAAGAACTCCTTTCTTCAATTTATTCTTTATTAATTTCTGCGTACTCCTCTGTGAATACTCTCAAATTATTAATCTATATTCTATTATTATGTAAGTATGTTTTGCTTTTAATAAAATGAAATTTCAATGTCATTTAAATTAATAATTTCATTTTCATTTCAGAATGGTTAAAAAAATTGAAGCAATTACGCAGGGTTAATTACATAGTTAAAACATACATAAAATTTGACATAATATACTTATTTTTTTGGGGCTACGATTTGTAAATTTTTTTTTATAAATTTTCTCAATTGAAATACCTACATTATTTTACATACGTGCATACTAAAGCATACAATATGTATGTTTGTTTAGAAAAACTTATACGAGTATGACACTATGAACCGAAAAAAATTAAATTAAAAACACCTTGCACAGTGAATGTGTGAATGTGTCTTTATGTACTTTGTAAATGATAAGAGAACTTATCAGTAATAGCATAAACCTTAAGTAAATTTAAACAAGAGTGGAAAAAAATAAAATGTAAAATTATTTTCTGTTATGTGTCATCAGTGTATAAAAAGAAATGTTGATTAAATGAAACTTAAGCAGACAAAAAATGCTGTACGAATTTGAAAACAAAAAAAAAAAAATTCAATAGAATTTATTAAATTGGAAAATTGACACCATAAGTGCTTGTATGCATTAGCAATTCTATATTATTAATATAAACAACATTATTTGTTGACATACATACATAAGTGGAATTTTTTTAATGAACGATCATTATGTGGACTATTTTGTTTTCCAAATAAATATGTACGTACATATATACATACGTATATGGATGTATGCATATAGCTTGCACATAGCTGCTTGGGTAAAAATCTTATTAATTTACATTTGCCACTGCATGTACTTAATTTGAAATAAGTATAATTTCCTGATCTCAAATTTCAGCTTCCCATATAAAGAACTGATCGTAAAATTTTAATTAAAATTCTATTTATTATTCTTAGATTTTAAATAAAAATTAACAAATATGATTGCAATTAATTTGCTTTGCACTTAAACACGTTCATGACTAACATTTAATTATTAAAACTTTAACAGTGTCATTAATTAAATTTCCAATAATTTTGTTCAGAGAACTTCAAATTGGAATTTTATTTAAAATAATATTACATTGATAATGACTACAATAATTTTTTCAAATTTATCGCAACAAACATCCACAAAAATAAAAATTCTTAAAAAAAAAGCAATATTTAGAGTACAGCCGAACTAATTTATATACCAGTGTAAATTTATGTTTGAAGGGTATTATAAATTTGCCATACCGTTGGCACCGCTAAAAAATAAAATAAAAATTGTTGAAGTTCCGGCAGTTGTTCCGGTAGTTATTTGGGTACAGCTTAAAAATTATTGAAGCAATAATGCCGAAATTTTTCACAAGCAAATATGAATGCGCTATTGTGTTTGATAAAACTAGTTGAAGTTTCTTGATTTGTGATGGTAGCTGTCATAAAACTTCAAAAGTCATTTGAATTTTGCATAAACGAAATATGGGTATTATTTTCAATAAAAGTCTTTGAGATCGGATAAGTGTATTTGGTAACTGGCATTAGTGTATAATGTAAACACATATAAAAAGCGAGGAGTGCTTATGGAACAGTGTGGTAATTAACATACAGCACTTAAAGTCATTCATTCCTTTATGTGTGTCTCATTCTCATTTTATCTAAAATTCCATAAATACTCAAAATTTTTAAAGGATTAATAACTAATCAATTAAAAAAGCATACAAAATGTTGATAAGCGAAGCAATAAGTAATTTAAAAAAAAAATGTGCTCTCATGTTTCATTATTATTAAATTTTTATTTTTTGTTTTTGTGAAAGATTACTACTTATATTTCACTAGCAAAAATAGATTGTAAAAAAAAACTACTAAAAAATAAATTAAAAAACAAACGAAAAATTATTACTGATAAGAAATATGGCATTAACTGTAAAAGTATACACCGCTTCGTATTCGTATATCGGATTTTTAAAACTAATAAAAATAATGAAAAAGAAAAACAAAATATGTTGAGTTATTTAAAAATAACATTAAACGATGAGAAGGTTTGTGTAAATGCCTTGCAGTCGTTTGATGACATTAAGAGCGATAACATTAAAACCGTCAAAGGCTAGACAACGTAAAAATTATAAAGTAAGACTTGTGATTAAAATTGTTGTTTTTTAATGAGCGGTCGGTGTAAAGTTTATTATTAGTATTTTATTTATTTATTTTAGTTTTATTTCGGCTTTTATATTATTTTCATTTGTTTATTATTATTTGTAATACCGCTGCATTATCATAACATTGTATAAAGTTATTTGTGGAAATGCAACACTTTTTTTAAACTTTTGTTGTTAACACTAAACGAATTTACTGTTGTGCTCAAATTACAAAGTTTGAGATTAAGGCACATACAGAGGCACACAGGACAAGTATTGTCGACAATGAGAATGAAGTGATTAAGAAAGTGTTGAATTATGCAAAATAAGATTTTCTTGAAAAAAAAATATAGTAATAGAAATTTACTTTAAAGTGTTAATGATATCGGCATGAATGTAATTTAAATAAGTAATTATTGCAATATTTAATTTGTTATTTATGTGTATATGTAAAAGAGTAGTGTACAGATCTAAGTTTAATTTCATTATGATTTTGTATTAAACCAAAGTTATAACAATTACAATTTTCAATAATACGATAGTGCTTACTTTTAAAGATATATAAATATTCCAACTATTGTTATCCAAATATTACCAAATATTAATTACTTATGCATCAATGCTAGGAATTAAGATCAGAATGTGCTGGAGAAAGTTAACCGCTGAGTTCTTGGGAATGAATAGAAGCAGCGTTCGTGTTATTGCGAATATCTTTACTGGGCACTGAGCAGTAAAATATAATTTGCATAGCCTGGGAAAATCGGGTACCACATTGTGTAGATTTATTTTGGGACACTTCCTGTCCGACTACCCGGCTCCGGCGTCGCAACTGTTTCGGACGATGTTTTTTAAGCCCAACTTCATTGAAGATATCTCTAGTTTTTATGGACGGAAGCGAGGCGATATTATAATAATTTGCGAATGCTGCGGTGGTTCGGCTGAGATCCTCTTGAATAACTGGTACCCTTAAAATCTACTCTTCTACGAAAAATCAAAATGTTTTTTATTTGTTTGTTTCTTTTTTAATCTGCTCAACAAGGAACGAAAGAAGCTTATGTCCTATAACTAAGACATTACCGTAAGCTGTACTTGCAATAACTATATACAAATTAAATTACTTAACTTAACTTAACAATAACTATATACAAATATGAAAATAAATTAAAAAATTTTAAAAATAATGTAATAAAATTTTTACCCTGACTGTGAAACAGCGTAAATATTATAATCGTTTGTAAATTTCCATTCTTACACTTAATTAGTTTTATCTTAACAGGTACTCGTTTATTATAAATTTTGATAGTGTTAACGAAATTTAACGATTCATGTTAATTTTAAACGTTTAAATTGATAAAAAGAGAAATTATATTAAAAAATTAATAAATTAAAATTGAAATTTAATTATTTTATTAATTTTCAAGAAAAATGCAAGTCGTCGTCTAAAACGAAAATGTATGTCTATTCTCTGCTTTGTCAATCCCTATTTATTATGTATTCCTTGTGCCTGTTAATTTGCATTTGAATTTTACTTTTGTATTTTGTATGATTTGTAAATGTTATTTAACTTATTGGTTATTAAAAAATGCATACATTTTGTCAAAAAAAAATTATTGTTTACAAGAGGTGAAAACAATATAAACAACTGCAATTCACTAACAAAACTTCCAGTGTCCAATATAGAGTGTAATGTTAGAATCCGACTAAGCCGACTGTCCGACTAATCTGCATAAGTATATTGGCGCTTTTATGATTAGATTTATTTAAATAATATTTATATAGGCTATAAAAAATATCTTTATTTACTTGAAAAAATTGTTTAATAACAAAAATATTTTTTTTCTCTTTTTAGTTCTCAAAAAATGGCTTCATAGAGGAATTTCAGAATCATCTATAAAAAAGATAATTAAACTTCACTTAAAACTTCTTCAAGTATTTCGAATATAATTGAAGTTTGTTCTTCTAACTTAAAGAAATTTTTACAATAAACGGCTATAAAAGTGCGGACATTTGAAAACTCTTTCATTTTTTTCTTAATTTATTTTTAATTTTTTTTTTTAAGAGAAGAGAAGACTTTAAAACATTTGGAGCGCACGAAAATTTTTCAGCACACGCACATAAATTATATATTAAAAAAAAAAAAAAATAAGCACAAAAATTTTCACAAACAACATTCATATAAATTCATTTTCAGCTTTACAAGCTTCTCAAAGTAAAAACTCTCACAAAACAGAAAAGAAAAAAAAAACAGAAACGCTTTCACAAACCAGAAAAAAATTTTTTTTTACCAAAAATGAATTCAACAGCAAAGCATATTTTACATTGCGCTCTCCTAATATTTGTGATAATAGCATTCGAGTTATTCTCCGGTGGTATTAAAATTAATGAAAATTCATTTACGCTTATTGATCCATGGACTGAATATGGCCAATTGGCAACATGCCTATTGTACTTATTAAGATTTTTAACATTCTTAACATTACCGCAGGTTCTATTCAATTTCTGTGGCTTAGTATTTTATAATGCTTTCCCTGAGAAAGTTGTATTAAAAGGTAGTCCATTATTAGCACCATTTATATGTATACGTGTTGTAACACGTGGTGATTTTCCAGAATTAGTTAAAACAAATGTATTACGTAATATGAATACATGTATTGATACTGGATTAGAAAATTTCTTAATTGAAGTTGTTACTGATAAAGAAATAAATATTGCAAAACATCGTCGTATTAGAGAAATTGTTGTACCAAAAGCATATAAAACAAAAACAGGTGCATTATTTAAATCAAGAGCATTACAATATTGTTTAGAAGATAAAGTTAATTGTTTAAATGATAATGATTGGATTGTTCATTTAGATGAAGAAACATTATTAACTGAAAATTCAGTACGTGGTATCATTAATTTTGTATTAGATGGTAAACATCCATTTGGTCAAGGTTTAATAACATATGCAAATGAAAATGTTGTTAATTGGTTAACAACATTAGCAGATAGTTTTCGTGTCAGTGATGATATGGGAAAATTAAGATTACAATTTAAATTGTTTCATAAGCCATTATTTAGTTGGAAAGGAAGTTATGTTGTAACACAGGTATTTATTTAATATAAATTTAATTAATTTTAAATTTTAATTACACAAAATTTACAATAAAGTTTACTTTTATAATTTGCATCATGTTCAAAAAAAATTGAGAAACGTCATTAACAAGTATGATCTTTTTCAATTGTTATTGCTTTCATTCTTTCATAAATCAAAATAAATATCATATAAAGAGAATGACAGTTTAGAGTAAATTTTATATTTTTGATCGTATGCTATGACATAATCGTAGAATGTCATTTTTTCGCCCAAAATTGATTTAAAACTAGATCTAATATTAAATTCAAAATATTTTTATTTCATTACATTTGAAAAATGTAATGTTGTATTTTTGTTTAAAGTTCTTGTAAATTAAACACTTATTAACAAAGAGAACTCATTACATTCGATTTTTTTTTTATTATCATTTAATAGTTAGGAAATAGTTTAATGCGATAAAAATTGTAATAAATTTTTATCTATTTCAAATAGTTTTCATTATCTTTATTACATAATTGAAAAGTTTTCCGAACAAAGAATGTAAATTTACATTGTAATAATTGTTTTTTCCTCCAATAATACGCCTCTGAATAATTTTATTTTTACTTTTATTAAAATTCTAACAAAAAAATTTTAGTTTGAGAATCAAATGGAATTTTTTAATTTTCCATAAGTTACAATTTCACATTTACAAAAAATTTAATACTTTGCTATTTGTACGAGTATATTTAGTTAGTTTATTAGTTAGTTATGACGAATTTATAAATATTTTACAAGTAAATAACAATTAGTATAAGAATTTTGTGAGAAGCGTAAAAAGGGAAGATTGTAATTGCGTAAAAAATTACAATAGTTCTATTATTTAACAAAAATACAAAAAAAAAAACAACTAAAAACTTTTATTTTTTAATTTAACAATGAAATTGTTGTTGAAAACAAATTTTAATAATAAAAAACAAAAATATAATTATTTGAATTGTTATTCATTGACAATATTATTATTTAATTCCATTCTTAAAATGAACAAAGCGTTAATTTTAAAATTTAGTCTTTAATTCTTATTAAACAAAAAGAAAAATAAAAACAAATTAATTTAGAATTAGACACAAAGTTAATTTTTCCATTGCCTAGAAAAAAATTATTTTTAAGAATTACAATTATTTCAAGCAAGATTCGAAAAGTTTAAATTGTTGTTTTTTAAGAACTTAAAAATGAAATTATTTCCAAAATTAATCTAGATTATAAGAGAAATTTCCCCAGGATGGTTATGGTAATTTGTAATTGTACATATTTAATTATGTTTGATTATAACTTCTAAACCCTTAATAGTTAATTTAATTAAATTAAAAGCTTATTAATAATAATTAATTTTATATTATGTAATTTTATTGTGGCAGTTAATAGATTAATTTCTTTTGTGTATTTTTTTGAAGTAGAGAGCTTAAAAATAAAGAAAACTATATAATAAGTTCCAAGCGAATATTTGGGTCTGAAAATCTTATATTCGAAAATTAAATATAATTATTAACTAGGATTAAATAAACAGCTTTAAGACATAAAATTAAAACTAATTTTTAATATTCTATTAACTAACCTTATATTTCAGGTTGGTGCCGAACGTGCAGTATCATTTGATAATGGACTTGATGGATCAATTGCTGAAGATTGTTTTTTTGCAATGCGTGCATTCAGTCAAGGTTATACATTTAATTTTATTGAAGGTGAAATGTATGAAAAATCACCATTTACATTATGGGATTTTGTACAACAGCGTAAAAGATGGCTACAAGGAATATTATTAGTTGTACATTCAAAAGTAATACCATTAAAACATAAATTATTATTAGGTGTAAGCGTTTATTCATGGGTAACATTACCATTATCAACATCAAATATGATTTTAGCTATACTATATCCGATACCATGTCCAAATTTAATGGATTTTGTTTGTGCTTTTATAGCTGCTGTTAACATATATATGTATGTTTTTGGCGTTATAAAATCATTTTCATTGTATCGGTTTGGTTTAGTTAAATTTTTAGCATGTGTATTTGGTGCTATATGTACAATACCATTTAATATTGTTATTGAAAATGTTGCTGTAATATGGGGTCTAATTGGTAAAAAACATAAATTTTATGTTGTACAAAAAGATATAAGACGAATACTAGAAACTGTGTAAGAAAAAACGAAATAATACTTAAAAACAAAAAAAAAAAAAGAAACAATTATTAGAAAGAAAACCAAAAATTAAAAAAAAAAAAAAAATAAATGAAAATTATAAAAATTAAATATTAAATAAGATTTGTACGCATGCAAAGCACCATGCTTATACATATGTTTGTATTTTTGTAAATTTTGAAAAAAGAAATTTAATTTTGTAATGTTTTTTTTTTTTTTTTTTTTAATTTTTTATGTAATTTGGAACACAGTATTATTAAATATGTAAAAAAAGAAAAAAGAAAACAACAAAAAGATGTTGCATAAAGAAAAGGATGTTGCATTTTTTATGTATCACCTTTTTTTTATTTACTTTATTAAAAAAGAAAATGCTTTGTAATTTTTTTTTAATTACTAAAGCTTAGTGTAATGTTATAATTATATGTAATTATATGAAAGAAATTTATTTTTTAATTTCTGTTCTAGTTTTGTTCAATTTTTCCCTCATTATAAATTATTATTTTTTAATAATTTAAGTTCTAAAACTGCACTGATAATATGATTACTAAACTTAGCGTCAAAATGTGTCTGTCCAAAATTTTGGAAAATAGGAAAACCAAAAAAAAAAAAATTTAATTATTACGATTTTTTTATTATTTAATTATTTTTTAATTATTTTTTTGCGGATCTACCTTCAATTTCTTATTTTTTTAAATTTATTTTTCATTTTGATTTAAAATTCCTAGATATTATAAAGAATGTGACAAAATCTAAAATTTTTGCAAGTTGATTTTTGCTTTAAATCTTTATTATATTAAATTTTAAAATATCTAATAATAAAGCAGAAAGAACAAAATAAAAATTATTTACGATTATTTAAAAAAAAAAAAAATAGATTAATTCACATTAATTTCAATTTAAAGGATCATTTTTTAAAAATAGTTTTTGGTTCACTGACACATTCACGACAATTTTATTTACTTACTTGTATATTTTTTTGTGTACCTTATATAATTAGCTATATATTGTATAAATTTAGAAAATAAAATTTTTTTGTAGATGACTTATTATTATAATAATAAAAAAAGTGAAAACAAAAAAAATAAAAAAATACATACATAATTGCTTTTCAAAAATCCATGGCAGGGTTAATAAATGAAATTTTGTTCATTTCAAGCTATTTATAATTAATAAAATAAAATAATATTAAATTTTAAAAAATAATATACGAAATATTCTTTATATTACGGAAAATATTTATTTTTTAATTTTATAAATTATTTATACCATATAAAATAGCTAGCTCAATAAATATAATATCAAATATAGCACAATTCATTTTTCAAACTATTATTATAAAAATATAAAATCAAATAAAATAAAACATAACTATTGTTAGTTATAAAAAAAAAATACAAAAACAAAATACCAATTTTTATATTATCTTCTATAATATTCAACACAAAATCATAACCAATATGTGCCGTTGCTCACAATATTAATGAATGGTTTATTTTGAAAGTGACTCAAGTTATTTTGTAATTTCAAAAGTCTTACATTTTCAAAGCAATTATAATTTTATAATTGTAATTAAAGCTTAAAACAAATGACCTAACTGAATTTTTACTTTAATTTTTATTTTTAATTAAAGTAGACTTAGGTCACATTCGAAAATAAACCATTCATTTATTTATTCACTACATTTTTTTAATAAAAATCATACTGAATTTTCTCAAATAATTCAAATATTTTTATTAAATAAAATTGCGAACCAAGAATACTAAAAATTAATTAAATATAGGTAAATAAAAATAAAATTTTATCAATTAAAAAAATAATTTTTGAGATTTAATTCCGTAAATAAATAAAAACTATAAGTTTAATTTTAATTAATTTTTATTTTGTTTTAATTGTGAATTATTTATAAATATACGGTGAACTTTCAATTATTTTCAATATATCCGAATTCTTGGTTTCATTTAACTTGCACTTGCATTTAATAAAAATGTTTGAATTAGTTTCTAAAATTCAGTGTTTTTTTTTTTTTATGAAAATAATTTTTGAACGAAAAATATTGTTAGCAACTGTATATACATACATATATAAATATACATAATATCTATTCCCTTTTTTGTCATATTTGTTATTTAAACTTGCATTTCATATATTTACCCCAAAATACTTAAAAAGCTTTACTAAACAATATATTTTATATATTGTAATTATTTATGAATTACTTTTCTACATTTTGACTTCTATGTACATACATACATATTTTATAAATAATAAATATAATTTAAATTTCATTATAAACCTTACAAAACTACTTAGATGAAAATTATAAATTAGATAAAATAATAAAATTAATAAACGTGTAATAAAAATTTATTGAAAAAACAATAAGAAATATTTTTAATTATTGTAAAAATAAGCACATAAGTTACAGTAAATATATATATATATTTTTTATATATATTATTAATTAATTAATTTATATTTTATATAATTTTTAATTCTAAGCAAATTTATTTTTAATTTTTTTTTTTTTTTGTTAATGACTTCTAGTCTATTTAAAGAAAATTAAATTTATTATGATCTTAAGTTTAAAACAAAATTTGAATTAAAAATAAAAAATTTAAAAAAGAAAAAAAATATATAAATTAAATGGATCAAATAATAGTAAATAAAAATAATTAATAAAATTGTTAATTATATTAAAAAATAAAAAATAAATATTAAAGAAAAAAATAAAACAAGAAAAATTTATAAAAAAAAGTATTTGCACAATTTAGAAAACAAAAAGATATTTTGAATGAATGTAAGTTATAAAAAAAAAATTTATGTAACTATTATTAAAATTTAAAACGAACAATATGGCGAAATGAAAAAAATAAAAATTAAATATAATATTTTTCAAAATCTTAAAAGTTCATTTGTTTCAAATTGAGTCCGACCAGTCCGACGCATGATGTGAACATTTTATCCATTCTCTTTTTTTTTTTAATTAAATAAAATTATTTATTTATGATATTTGATGTGCTAGTCTATTGAAGTTCTTCTTTTATAGGCTAACAAATTGCAATAGTTCGTTCATAAAACTATGCAATAATTCATCCTTAAATTTGGTTTGTAACAGAAAATAGATTTATTTTATTCGAAATGAAATGCTTTATTACTTCTAATATGTCATTTTTGCCTTACATATGTATACACTTTAACAAAAGGGATTTTGGAAAATTCAGTTCAAAAATCTTAATATAAAGCGTGTTCGATGGAAGAAGAAAATTACGTTCGAAATCGTAACATACTTAAAATTCTAAAGCATTTTTGAAAATTTTTCTTGAATTATGCAAAAATATTTTAATTGTGAAATAAAATATGGACCACAGAAAAATGTATGATATTAAAAATCTCAAAAATTAAACTAGCTAATCCTTGTATACCTATCCCTTCTTGTTAGATGTTGATGTATTTGATGCATTTTTTAAAAACTTAAAGTATTTGATGTGGTTTGAAATTGCATATTTACTATACAACCAATAAGTGTTTTCTGGGAATATCTGGGAAAGGGAGACAGAACATATTTTACGAACAGAAAATTTTATGGATAAGTGCTTAATAACGAGATATATGAAGGTTAAATGTTAATAAGGTAATGTTTTTTCTTTTAAAGTTTATAAAAGAAGAAATGTATTTAGAGTAAAACGAAAACGCTTCATAATTTTATTTTGTTTTTTGTCTCTAATTTTGAACAGGAATTTGAAACTTTTCGCTGAAGAAATGCAAAGAAAATATCTATTAATCATTAAATATAGAATAAATGTATGTAATAAAAAAGACAAATAATTAGAATTCTAGTTTTTTATCTAAAAACCATTGTAGTTTTTATTCTAAAATCTATTAATATTGATTTGATTGCAACTATTAATTAAGATATTTCTATTGAGCAAATTCTTAATACTGTTGCCGCTCAAATATATGGAAGAATAATAAAATCATTTTCCGTTGGTTGAAATAATTCATCATTTTATTAAATTAATATTCTCATATCTTTGTTTTAGTTGACATGGAAGATAATTGAATATGACGGTCCATTATGTGGTTTTTCTGCTTTAAAGAATAAAATATGTAAAATAAAATCTAAAACAACATATTGTTTTAATACCTTTATTGTTATTATGTTTTTATAGGCGTACAATTTTATTTTATTTTTAAAAGTATTAGAATTTTGAAATTTTCATTATTTCTTCTCTATTTCGAATTTTAAATATAACTACACCGAAACATTAAAATGTTACCATTAAATTAAAAAAAAAAAATATTTCAAAATTCGAATCTAATCTTAAAAGAAAAGTTTCTCTAGAACTTAAACAGCTTGTTTTTATTTTCAAATTATTAACATATGTATAATTATTTTGAACATAAATTACCAATTGTATTTTTCAATTAATGAATATTGTATGTATAATTATAACTATTTTTTAATTTAACAAAGAATAAATACATATATGCTTAATTATATTAGCAAAAATATATAAAAACCCAAAGAATTCTTCACATTAATTTCAAATTTTATTGAAATTTTAATGTAGGTAAGTTCAAAAAATATCATTTTGTTCTAATGCGGCAAGAAAATCTGAACTTTAAATAAAAGATCCTTTTTATTAAACGCAAAATTTGTTTTTCATTACATACGATTCCTTTTCCAAATGCTCGTAAGATCTTCATTTCTATTTTTTGATGCAGTAGTACAATAAAAAATTTTCATTAAATTTAAATATTGTATCTAATAAAGTTTACCTGTTCTTTGTATACGTTTACAAATACACAATTAAGCAATATTTTAAATTGTTCTTTATATAATTGTTTATATAATGGTATATATTAATAAACTTATGTAAAAAATTAAATATGTAAAAAAAAAAAATAATAATAAAAATTCTTAAAATTTAGATAAAATTAAATAACAAATAACAGCAATCAATGCAGCCCCTACAGTACAAAATTGTGTGAAGTAAGAATTATGTATTAAGCTATTGGTGTTTGTTTTAATCTCTTCTATTTTTTGTTTTAATTCACGATTATCGGCAATCAGTTTTTCGTATTTTTCTTTCCATATTATTAATTCTTCTTCATGTCGTATATTTAGGTTACTAATTGTTTCGATATCTTCTTCGATTTCTTGGTCAATATCTTTTATATGATCATTTCCAAAATCTTTTTCAGATTTTACAGCAACAGTTGCAGAAATGTTGATTGTTTCTTCATTTAATGCTGCTGCTTGGGTTTTGTTTTTTAAATTAATGATTTCTTCGCGTAGAGAATTATTTTCATTTTGTAAATCTTTTATTTTCGAATCGGTAGCCGTGATTTGTTCAGAAATTAATTTAGTTTCTTCGTTGCTAATAGAATCCTCATTTTTGTTACTAAAATTTATTTCGATATTTTGATTCGTTCGTTGCTTTTCTAATTCGTCGGTGTATTTTTCAATTTTAGCTTCCATTAATGAAATTTTAAGCAACAATTCTTTAATATGATTTATATTATCTTCATCTTTACCTACAATTTCACTACTTTTGCTGGAAGTTGTTGTTGTAGATAAGCAAAGTAATAATTCTTTGGACGTTTCTCTGAATGCATCGATATCTTTACGCAAGTTAAGCGCATTTTCAAGTTGTACTTGATCGTTTCCTTTTTCATAGCCAATTGAAGTTATGAGGCTTATATCATCATCGTCAGCTTTGGTTGTAGCAATAGATTCAATAGAATCAACTTTATGTTGTAAACTCCTTTGGCTTTCTTCAATTATGTCATTTTCGAACTCTTCAGATTGAGGTGACTGCGATAACGGATCATCGGCACATATAGCTTTGATAATATCATCAGAATCAGAAGTCTTCTTTAAATCTGAGTTTTCAAACCATTTCATAATAATATTTTCCGAAACACCTTTTTCTGAAACGTTATCATCCTCTCCATCAATATTTCTTTCATCTCTACTGTCGTGATGAGAATTTAACTGTTTTCGCAACTCGTTTCTTTCTTTTAATAGTTCAGCTATGTAATTTTTATAGTCCTCGCATTCGTTTCCTTTTTCGATAAGCTGAATATTTTTCTCAGAATCTGCTTTGGAATTTTCACTATTTTCTTTATTGGCAACTTCAATTTGTTCTTTGTACTTCAAATATTCTGTCTCCATATTTTGTAACCTATTATTTAAATCTTCAATATGTTTTTCACTATTTGCAAATTGTTCACGCAAAATTGAACATTCTTCTTGGCTACTATTTAATTCAGATTCAATTACTGACAATTTTTGTATACTTTCGGTTCTGTCTTGATAAACTTTTTCCAATGCCTCTTTAGCTAAATTTTGATATGAGAATTTTTCCTCTTGCAATTTGACAACTTCGTCTTTTAAGCGATCTTCCGTAGCGTTTTTTTGATAAAATTGCAATTTATTTTCCAATGCGTCAATTTTATTCAATAATTTATCTTCATCAATCATAGCTTGCCAACAATTTGCAGCATTTTTCTTAGATAAATCCAATATATTTTGAATATCTTTAAGTTTTACTTCAAGCATTTTTTCCCTTTGAACTGTTTCTTGAAGGTAGTACTGCAGTCTATTAAAATCTTCAAAAGAAATTATACCGTTCCCGCTGTCACTTCCAGATAAGTTCCTTGAAAAATATTCTCTTCCATCTGGTAAATATAACTTTACACAGGCTATAATACACCCATGTATTTCTTTACGAGTATTTTCTATTACATCCACTCCAAATTTAACAACATCTCCGGAATTTAATTCTTCTGGTTCTGAATGATTAATACGCCTGTCATTGATAAATGTACCATTACTGCTTTTAGTATCCTTAACGTAAAATTTTCCATCACTAAACCATAATACAGCATGATTTCTTGATAGCACTTTGCAATCAAAAATACCATTATTTTCAGAAGCTCGACTCCGAGCTATAGAACGGCCAACTTTTATTTCAACATTTTCTTCTAATTGTATTTTCCGTGTTTGAAATAAATGTGAATTTGGTTGACATAGCAAAATTATTTGAGCACAATTGTTCGATAAATTATCCATGTATGCAGCAGCAGATTGATCAGTAACACCACTCCTCCAAATTTGTTCGACGTTTTTTGCGTTTTCATTCTTATCGCTAACTAAAGATTTTACATTTTCCTCATCTTCCTTCCAATTTTTCGAAACCACCATGACCTTTGTATTAGAATTAATTAATAAAATTCTTTAAATAATTAAAATATAAAAAAACAAATATAAATTTACCAGGGAAGTGAAATAGAATCCAAAACGTCTAATGTCAAATATGGCAGTGGTGGTAACTCATAAAAATTATTAATGTTTACTTTCGTTAATAGTTTTGTAAAAAAAACAAAATAAAAATGAAATTGACAGTAACTTTAAATTATATTCTTTTTAATAATATAAATCATAAAATCAATTGCAAAATATATTTTTGTGTTTTAATCAACAAATAAAATTATTAACGCATAAAATTTATGAAATATTATAAGAAATAATATGTGTAGGGGAATAATTTTCACAACATTTAGTTTGTTAGATACTAGGTGGCAGTATTGATTGCAGAATGTCAATATGAACTTTATTTCAAATGTCAATTTTGACATTGACTTACCCAAAAAAAAATAATTATATCAATCAATATCAGTTATTGTCTTAAATTTTATTTCAGAAATAAATAGCAGGTGAAAATATTAAAAAAATATTAAATATATTACATTATTTATTTGAAATTCATAAAGATTATTAAAAATTAACTTCTTTTGATTAAAAGCACTAATAAATAAGAAGGGCGCGACTTATATGACAGCGCTGATTTGAACTTTCTTAGAATTTAATAGCGTTTAAAAATTTTAGAACACGAATTTAGTTAATTATGGATAAAAAAACTAAAGAGCTACTTCGTAAGAGGAAGAAAGTTCGACCTGCTTCTAGCTCGGAAAGTTCAAGTAGTTCGGATTCGGATTCTGGATCAAGTAGTGATTCCTATTCATCTTCGTCATCGGCTGACAAAAAGGGGCGCCATCATAGAAGTAAAAAAGGACGACCGCGACGTTCAAGTAGTTCATCTGATGATGAAAAAGCAAGAAAAAGAGAAAAACATGCCTGTCATAGAAAAGCAGAAGCAAAAAGAAGTCACTTAAAGCGTAAGCAGAAAGAGGCAAAAGCAAAAAAAGGAGCTCTGTCGCTTTTGGTTAAGTTAGGTAGGTACATACTTTTTAAAGCAAATACAATTTTTTCTTAATACTTACTTAATTTTGGGTATATTAGAAAAAAATCATCACGACCAATTGTTGAAGGAACGTCATCAAATGAGAGAAAGAGAGAAACTTCGTTTAGGTCACGCTAGCTCAAAAGAGCTACTGAAAGCGAGGTTGTCCCCTTCGAAAGCTAAACTTGAACGTCATCATCATCACCAGCTATCACCACGAGAAAAGATTATAATACGACGTGAACGAAGTCCTCCAATGCAACAAATTCTATCTCCTCAAAGAGGTCCTAAAGATATTCGACACCGTTTAGAAGATAGACGCTCGGAAAGAGAAAGGATTGAAGCAGCTCGGCAAAAAGAACGTGAAGAAGCTTTAGCGCGTTGCCAAGAACGACAGAGGGAACGTGAAAGAATCGCTAAAGAAAAATTACGTAGAGAACGTCAAGAAAAAGAGTACGATCCTCGTGAGCAAAGATTATTACCTAGACCATCAGAAAGAGAAATGGCGATTGCGGCTGCGAGGGGTCAAGATAGTAGGGAACGTTCTGTAGAAACCCATCCAGATATGCGTCGTTCAGGACATTCTCATTCTTCTCATAGACTTCCTCACGCGTATGAACGTAGTGAAAGTGATTACGATAGGGATTACGAAATGAGGCATCCTGAGCATGATAGGCATGCAGGAGATATTGATCGTGAATATATGATGATGAGAAGAAGAGGAAGTCCTTCTCCAGGAGGACATTATAAAGAGTCACGAGTAAGAGGATCAGAACGGGAATTATATCCCGAAGATGAAAGATACGAAAGGGGCGCTTATCAATCCCGTTCATCTCGAGGTGATGCTTATGTTGATGATATTGCTCACAGGAGAGAGAGAGAAAGTGACGATTGGGAACACGAACGTGGCGAAGGTGTGAGCAGTCATGATTTACGTGAACATCATCCTCGTTCTGAAAAACATCTATATGAGAAACACAGAAGTGCACAGTCTCCTCAATGGGAAGAAAGTAATTGGAAATATCAACAACAACAACATTTGAGACTCGGATCTCACAAAAAAATTCCACCTCAGATGCAAGAGGAAAATTGGGATGAAGAAGTCGATTACAGACCTCCATCCAAAAAGCCATCACAGGCTGATTGGGTCGAAGGACCGGTGCATCATCATACGTCCACACAACCGGGAAGAATGAAAATGGAACATGGACCTCCAATGAAAATGGTCGAACCGAAAATTCCGCATGAGGGTCAGCCACATGGCCATCCTGGAGTGCATATTGTACAACATCCATCAACTCATTCCGCTGCTCATCCCGTACCACATGCTGGACCGCCAATGCCTCATCCTCCACATGGAAAACGTTGGCCACAACAGGAGTGGAGACCAAGAGCACCTCCACCACATGGTGCTGACTTAAGACCTATGCATCCAGGTGGTCCACCTGGCCCTAGAGTACCCGGCTATAGGTATTATGTTTTTAAATTATTATTTTGCAATGAATAAGTATATTAATTTTTCAGGGCCCCTATGCACCGGCATCCTGTTGGTCCTATTAATTATGGTGGCCAAGAGCGTCCACATTATCCTCCTCGTCATGCGCCACCACATATGCAAGGGCAACATCACCTTGGAACTCCTTATCATCCGCGACAACATTTTCCTCCTAAACGGCAAATGGTCTACACCAATCCAAATTTAATAGCAAATCAAAAAGCTGCTGCAGCAGCCGCTGCCTCTTCTCCCAATTTAAATAAACCAAATAGTGCTTTAGTTCCAATTAAACTAGCAACGGCATCTCCGACATTTGTAAATCCTGCAAATAAAATTGCACTGATTAAAAAAATCGAGGAACAAAAAGAACAAGAAAAATTAGCCGCATTGAATGATGCTTTAACAGACACGGGTGATGCTGGAGCTGATGAAATGGAACCTGGAGAAATAAAAAGTACTAATGAAAATGAAAGTGTTGAACCATCTGAGGAGAACTCTGGTGATGGTGTTGGAGGAGAAGGTGAGGGAAGGGATGACTTAAGCGAAATTAGCGATGAAGCAGATGACATTTTAAAAGAGGAAAAAAACAAACAGGCTGCGGCACTTGCTGGAGATAAACAAATTGATGGTGCTAAAGATGATACTAACATAGAAGCTGATACCCCTGGTGACCAAACAGAAAATGATGATTTATTGGATTTTGAAGAAATATCGGATGGTGAGTTAGAGGAGGAAACTAGAAAAAATTTAGGCGATGCTCTTGGTGTTGATTGGGCATCACTTATAAAAGAGTCAAAAATTGTAAAAGGCAATCAAAAAGATAAAAATACTACTGCTAAACAAAAATGGCAACCCCATAGGGTAATTTTAGATGTTGGTATTTCAATGAAATACGCTGGTAAAGAATTTGCTGAAGAACTTCTTAAAGATGCTCAGTTAAAATTAGATGCTGAAAACGCTACAAAAAAAGTTGAAAATGTTGATAAGGATGAAGCCAATATTAAGTTGGAAGAAGAAACGACAACTATCAAAATAGAAAAACTTGATCCAGATGAAAATGAAGAAAAAGTTAAAATACAAGTTGATGCTGTAGTAAAAAACGAATATCAAAGCGACAGTGAAAATGAAAAAGTAACTTCAGAAAATTTTAGCCCTGCTGGTAATGATGACACAAATAAAATTCCAATTGAAAATTTGAGCGAATTGGCTTGTGTTCAAGTCGCCCAGAGAAAAAACAAAGAAATTCAAAATAATTTAGTATTTAATGCCTGTGGAATCAATAGTAGGGCATTAAGTGCTCGCAAAGATTTAAGATTACGTCGACAACTTTGCGGACTACCTGTTAAAGAATTGGAATGTGGACGAGTTGTTAGTGAACAAATGAAATCTTTGGCGTTAAAAGCATTTCAAAAAGCAGTAGGAGAGGTGAAGTAATAGTAAAAAAAAAGTTTTTCTTTTTTATTTTGTTCTCAATTTTACAAAACATAAATCTGATCGGTGTATTTTAGTTCAAAAATTTAGATTTTTTTTCTCTAAGTAGTTCCATATTTTTGAATTTTATGAAATATACAACAATATGCATAATATTATGGAAAAATACATATAAATAAAATGCTTGAGAATTAAGTTGAATCTTTCTTTTTTATACTTAAAACATGAAAATTAAAAATGAATTTTTGTTTTTGTTGAATACTTAATAAACTAACATTTTTTGTTCAATTTTAACTTAATGATTTATTCATATCAACAAATCTTTTAAAACTGCTTTTATAATTTTACTTAATTAAAAGCTAATCGTTCTCATGAATGATAATTTTAATTTCGATATTTATACTTTGTTCAGCTAACAAATATAAATTATTTTGATGGAAAATGGGGAAAACGTTCCCTAAGGTCATTCCCCTTTAAATTAAAATATTTATTAAAATATTATAGAAATATAAATTTTATTAAGATATACATTATTTTCAGGGTCAGTTACCGTGACATTTAAATTTTTAGGTACTATTACTTTTTACTTTATGTTTGACCCTAAAATAGTTTCGTATATTATACCTTAATATAATAATTTTAAAATTTGTATCAAGGGTCTACTTTTAACCTGTAATATATTTCGTATTTGCTTAATATTTTAAATCATTAAAAAACTATTTTAACAATTTTATTATTTTGAATTTATTTCAAAAAATAACCAATCAATTTCATCAATGCGCATTTAATAAAAAAATTAAATTTATTTGTTCATAAAATTATATATTTACAAAAATCATTCAAAAACAAAGAAAAAAATATTAATAAATTTTTTCAATTAATGGCATATTAACGATACTTTTGATTGAGTCCTTGATTTCGAATTTTAATGAATTAATGGCTCATGTGTTAATGTCATCAATAAATATTTCTGAAAAAAATAAATTATTAAATTAAAATCTTGGAAAAAGAAATCTAAAATTAGTTAAAATATATATATTTTGATTTTTTCACGCAATTTTTCAAAATATTTGTGTAAAAAGTAAAGACTATAAATGCAAGGGGTAAGTGAACAAGGAAATTTAAGAATCAATGTATTAATAACAAATTTTAAAAATTTTTAATCATGAATCTGAATCTGCGAATTAATTTCATTATCTATAATTTAAATCAACAATTTTGGCTGGATCAGATTTTTTAATTACGTTAAATTTTTAATATCAGTTTCTTTGCATAGAAATACATACAGAAGTATATTCCCTAAATATTAAGTCAGATTCAGATTAAAGGTAATGCTCATTTCAATATCACATCAAAAACATTAAAAATTTAAAATATAGTTTAAAAAATTTTGTGTTAAGAATAGGCTGGACAAGAGATTTAGCGAATTCGTTCAAAATATAACTCTTATTTTTCAAATCATGATATTTTGGAAGTGTCAAATAAAAGCATTAAAATTATTTAGCCTCAACATTTTTTGGCATTGACCATACGAATTCGATGTTGCGGAATTTCATACAAATTTAATTCAATGTCTGATTTTAATAATTATTAATCAATTTTTATGGATGAATAAATTTAAAATTTTTTAAAAACAAATTTTTTTTCTATTTAATATAGAAATGGTAATAATTACGTTTTTTTCTAATGGTAAGAAGAAAATATAGAATTTAATATTCAAACTATGTACATACATATATTTAAAAAACTCAAATATGTGTGTGTCTGTACTAAAATATAATATGTAAATATATGTAGGTATAGTTTTTGCTTCAATATAAAGATCTATAAATAATAATGATATTTGGAGAAAAGATGTACAAGAAATTCCTGGTTTTCGTTTATCGATAATTCATTTTTTTTTCTTACTTAACAACTACTTTGGTTTCTATGAGTGTATTCCTAAATATATATATATATTTAATAATCGGCTATAAAATTTTTACTTCTCCCCCACCCCTTTTAAATAGTCAAATGTGAATATTGAAGGAACATAATTTTCTACCCCTTCCATTTAAAAAAAAATTTTTAATAAAAAATTTTAAGGTTATTTTATTTTATTTTTTTTGTTTTGGAATTTATAATATGATGTTTTTGAATTTAAATTAAATTATTTTTAATTTTTTACATACATACATACACGCTTATTCATATTGATTTTTTTCCAAAGATTTTTGACGCGACATCAATGCGATATTAAATATTTTTTTCTTTTTAGAAAGTAAATAAAATAAATTTATTATTACATTTTTAATAAATTATCAATGCTGTTGATGACAGGTGCAATAATTTTAATTAAATCAAAACAACAAGTAAAAATAAAAATTTGATTTAAGCACCTTTTAATATGTATCGTTCGTTCATTTGTGTAAAGAAATTTTATTTTCAAATATTGTCAAATTTACATATTATAGTTAAAAATTTATATTTTAATATGCGACATCCAAATTTTAATTGCCATATTATACTACCTACATATTAAATACAATATGGTTGTTATAAAATAACATTTGCACTGAAATTCTTGGCAAAAATTATGGAAAAAATATGCTTACGCCTCATTTTAACCGTTATGCTTTCAAAGTAATATGACAAAATTTCATTTAACTATTAAATTTATAAGGTTGATATGTAAATAGCAGCTGTGATTGTCAAGGCTATATAAAATAATGATTATTTATAAGTATATATAATAATTATTAAAATTTATTAAATAAGAAAAATTACATCATAATTATTGTATAAGTTTTAGTAAATGTAGACATTGGAGTTTCATTAGGATTTCTTAAAATTAACATTACTCTGATGTTTTTCATTGAACTTGTAAAAAACTAAAAAAGCAGTGATGTTTTTGCCCAAAGAGTTTAAAATTCAAAAATGATTTCAAACTTCAATGTCATTTAAATTTAAAGTTTTTGCATCGCTACCACACCTAGAGCGTAAACTAAGCAAACAATCAGATCAGTTGAAGTAATGTCAACAATCAGACTAGTTGCAGTAATGTCTAAAATAAGCTTGAAGTTCGTACATTGCCTTGTCTCTTTCTTTTGTTGTGTTTTTATTAATTTTGATTAAATTTATAAAGTTTGATATTTATGTATATAAATAAAATTATAAAAGTTTTAAAAAAAACAAAATTATTTTCAAAAAAAAAAAAATTCTCCAAAAACTTCCAATTTTGTAGCAGCATAAAAAGATCACATCAACATGAGCAAAACGTTATGTATAATTTTGCAGTCATGTAGTATCAATGTCCAAAATCATCGATCCAAAAAACATTGACATTACTACAAATTTCCTTTTTCAAGGGTAAATCAATAACTTTTCTTTCATAATATGTCATAAGTTTTCATATTTCAAATAGTACGAGTACACAAACAATAATTAGTATTTTGTTATCATAAGTAGTAGTAGCACAAGTATAGGTAAATTTTAAATTTCTGTTCAATATTTGAAATTACAAAAGGAGCACGAATCATTAATCTTTAAGATTATTTTTAGTCTTCATGGGCTTTACGGTTATAAACAAAATACACGTGTAGGAAGCATTAAAAATTCGAACTTCACACAATTATTTCAAAAAATAATCAATAAACTTTTAAAAAATTTTATTGGATATTGAAAATAAAAATGATTTAATATTAATTTTATTTTTTTGGAAATAGCTTAATTAATTTTTAAGATTTTTCTTTGTTGAATGTTTAAAAAATTTAATCTGCTTTAAGCGATTATTAGTCATTTTTCATATTTAAGAATTATTAATTAGTCAAGACTCTTTCGTTAATATTTCGGTCGTCAAAATGATCGTAAAATAAATGATCGTGTTTAAAATGATTGGGAATTCAAATTTCATATAAGTTATTTGCTTTCAATCGCATTGTTTAAATATAATAGGAACTACAATTGTTTTACATTCTTAATCTTACAGTTGTTATAAATTCGCAGACACAGTGTTCATAAGGCATTCTGGTTGACAATATTAAAAATATTTTTTTTTTACTATTTGTACTTTATTTAGCGCACGTTAATATTTATTTAACTTATATTTTAATTATTTTTTTTTTTCAAATTAAAATTTTATACTGTTTGAGAAGACTTTGCTATAATATTTGCAAATGGAAAGCGAAATACCAGAAAATAATAAATAACTTTATTCTCTTCCGCAATATCTTTATAAAATACTTTAATAGTAGGACTCTATATCTTTTTTTATAACAGTATAATTTATATTCTAATTGTTTAATCTTATTTAATTGTAAATTGAATGACGTTAATTTATAACATTAACAACAAGTATTATTTATTTAACACTAACTATTTTATGTTATTTACTCGTTTTAACTGTTATACATGTAAAATTTCCATACATATTATTGTTTTATTTTACCAACTTATTTATGTTTACATCTGATGACATTGTTTTTACCGGTAATTTTTCATTTAATGTGTATATGGATGCCAATGTGTGTCACAAGATTAAAATAGTAAAATTAAATAGACTGAGCATAATTAAAGTTCGTTATTCTTATATAGAGAAATTCGCTTTATCGCTTTTGCTCTATAATTATATACCGTAAAAAATATATGCATTTGTATATAATTATTTAAATAAAGCTTTTATTATTTTGTAACAATTAATTTGTTTTTAATTATTTGTTAATTTCTATTACATATGTTTGCGTTTGATTGAATTTTTTTAAGGTATTTGGCATTGTTATAAAGGTTCAAGTATGTAAAACTTTTGAAAACGAAAACTTAAAAAGCAAAAACAAAAAATAGGTTAAGTACGATAGAACGTATTCGTGAAAAGAAGTACCTAACATAACGGTTTAAGTAGACGTTTACTATATATATATTTTAAATTTGTCAATATTTTTTTAAATTTATCTAACATGTACAAAATAATATAGTTAATAGCAATAATTATTATTTTCAACAAAAATTTAAATGTTAAAAGTAAGTATGAATGTAAAGTCGTAAGTTTAGTCGTAAAAAATAACTGTTAGTTTCTAAATAAATACATGATTGTTTAATGAGAGGAGATGCGTCCAAAGTTAGTTATGGATTCAGAGGCGACAAAGGAATAACGAGAAATAAGTTAATTGTGAAAATTGAATAGGATAAAAATACTTTACATGAATCTTATTCAGAAACCGATCTACCAAAATTGGTAATCTTTTTAGAGTAATCTTAATTAATAATTATGTTAAAGTTAAAGATTAATTATTACGAAAAATTCTTGACACAGGCTCATTTCTATTATAAGAACAATAGAACCATTTTCACTGATAATTTTAGGAAATTTTCATAGTATATTAGAGCTTACTAAACTATCTTTGAGGATAATCTGAAGTAAACGCTTATATTCTAATTGACATAAAGTTTGAAAGGAAATATAAAATTCAATTTTTAGTGACACTTAATCGTTTAAGCAGTATATGATTCGCTATTAATTGATGAATCATATACTACTTAAGTGTTAAGTGAATGATATAATTCGCTATTCTAAGCCTGTCATCCTCATTAATATAAAATAAAATTGTTGAAAGTGCAAAGTAAAAGCCCCAGAATTTCAGGCAACAATTTTCAAATATAAAGTAAAAATTTGTGATTGTGGAAAATTTATACCCACTATTCTTAGTGCTTTTAACTCAATAAAATAAAAAATTTTTAATTACCAAGTAATAGCGAAATTAAATTTATTGGATGAGAATTCTTTATTTTTTTTTTATTAATTAAGAGATTTTTATTCTAAAATAATTAAAAAAGAAAAATTGCGATCGTTTTCCATAGGAAAAAAGCTTATCTATAAATTCGATTTAATTTAATTAATTGCGGAAAGGTAGTAAGTAAGTTTTCACGTGCAACTTTTGGCAATTTGTATAAAAAACAAAAAGTTTTTAGTGATTCTTGAGCAATTTTTACCACATAAATAGAAAATTTTATTGAAATGATTTTTTTTTTTCGTTTTGCTTGTGTTTTTGGTTATTCTAAATTTTGCGTTTTAGTTTGTTTTTTTTTTTATTTTTTTTTTCTTATTTTAATATTTTAAATTAGCGGAGGGAAATCGAAGATGGGGAAAATTAATTTGCGTTAAGGAAAATATCAAGAGTCCTATTGAAAAATTTTAGTTGACGTGAGATTTTCATACAAAACGGTTGCAAAAAACGGTTAAGAACAAGGAAAAAGAAAAAATCAAAATCATTGTATAGTTTGGTGACTATTATAAAAAAAAGAAAAAGAAAAAAAAATTCTATTTAAATAAAATTTTATTAAAATTTAAATAAAAAACAAATTTTTGAAAAATTAATTAAAAAAATTCGAAATGATATCACCGGATCGAGTTCTTGAATTAGTAAAATTACATTTAGCATCGGCTATTGATCCACGTAAAAAGAAACCACCACCAGAGGAACCATCATGGACAATTGGTGTTTCAAAAATCGATGGTCGCGGTGTTATTGCAACCCGTGATATAAAAGCTGGTGAAATTATATTTCGTGAAATGCCATTACTTATTGGATTAACTGGACGTAAAGAATCCGTTTTAAATACATGCAGTCTATGTTATAAACTTTTAGATGAAAAGAAAATGATGTGCCCAAAAGGTTGTTCTTTACCAATATGTGAACAATGTAGCCGTAAACAACAGCATAATAAAGAATGTGAAATTTATAGAAAATATGGACCATTGGAGCCAACAAAAATTGATCCAGCTAGTTTACGTTCTTTAACAGTTATACGTGGTCTTTTTTTGAAAAAAGAACAAAAGCATATGATTTATGCAATGCAAGCAAATACAGATTCAACATATCGTAATGAAATTAATAATGCAGCAAAATGTTTTAAAAATTTTCCAACAGATAGTCAAACTGTTGAATATTTTCATCGTATTGTATCAGTTTTAAATACAAATGCATTTGAAGTTTTAAGTCGTAATAATGGACATGAAATTGCATTACGTGGATTATATCCATTAGCTGGTATTATGAATCATGAGTGTACACCAAATACAGCACATTTATATGAAGATGGAACAAATGAAATGGTTGTTAAAGCAACACGTGCAATACCAAGAGGTGAAGAGATTACAACAACATATACGAAATTATTATGGTCAACAAAATCAAGACAATTATATTTAAGATTGACGAAACAATTCACTTGTAATTGTCCCAGATGTAAAGATCCAACGGTAATTATAAAAATTTTAAAATTTGTTCGATAAGAATAATAGTTAATAGAAATTAATATTAATTAATTAAAAGTGGAAAAATTCGAAATTTCCTATTTTAGCTTGCAAATTTAAATTTGAAATTATTTAAAACGCAGATTGATTTTTTCTTATTCATACAATGCTATAGAGGAAATTTGAATTTTTTTCGTAATTATAAGCTGTACGAAACTTACAAATATTAAAAATATTTATTATAATAGTTTATTTTTTTTTAAATAAAATAATATATATATATATTTTAAAATTAGGAGCGTGGAACATATTTGGGTGCATTTTATTGTCGTACTCAACAATGTGGCGGTTTAATTATACAAGAGGATCCAACAGCACAATCATCAATATGGAAATGTGAAAAATGTAATACACGTTATGATTCTCGTCAAATGACAAAAATAGCTGATTTTGCATTGGGTACAATTAATGGGAAAGCAAATAATGGTACACTTAAAGATATGATACAATTTATAAATGAAATGTTACCAAAAATTGTACCACCATGGAATTATTTAGCACAGGAAGCTAAATTACAAGTTATTTGGAAAATGGGTAAAACTAAAGAAGATTTTGGTTATACAGATTATCAAGATAAAGAGAAATGGTGTAATGAAGCATGTGAAATATTGGATAAATTAGAAGCAGGAGATTGTACATTAAGACATCATCTTCTCGAAGAAGCAAGAAGATTTTAAATTAATTGAAGATATATGAAGAAAAGAAGTGTAAAGATAATTTTCTCATTTATATATAATAAAAATATATAAATATATGTTGGTCTCTTTTTGTTCAGTATATAAAGAAAATTAGAATCTAAAATTCTTTTTTTTTTTCGAAAATTAAAAAAATTTGTTTTCCCTTCGGAAAAAACTCAATATCAAAAAAAAAAATTAATTTTTTTTCTATGTATTATTTAAATTAATTGTAATTTATTGTGAAAATATAATGTTAAAATGCGCATATATTACAAACATAACATATATAATATAAATGTACATACACATACACTTTATTGAAAACTATTTATTATTTATAATCAATATTATAAAATTAATATCATAAAATGTTTCTCTTAAAATTTCTCTATATATTTTTGTATAATATTAAGGACATATTAAAAATTCATTAATGAAAATATCCTTTTCTATTATATTTTAAATTATTCTCCATAATATCATGTTATTTGTTTTTGTTATATAAGTATAATATCTTTTTATTCAAATATTATGTGTGTTTTCTTGTATATACTAATAATTTGAAACTATATTGAATCTATATATAGTTGTAATATAAAATTTTTTAACACGACAATTTAATTAAAAGGATTAGTAAAACCAAAAAAAAAAAAAAACGAAGTTTGTATTAAAAAAAATTTTTTGTTGTAATTTCATTTGTAAAATTTTAATTTAAAACTTAATTAAAAATATACATACATACAGTATACATATATATATATATAGCAACAAAAAGTAGAATTAATTCTGTAGTTTTGTTTTTTTTTTTAACAAGAGCGTCTCATCAGTGAAATTTGTTTTCAATTCGTATTTGTTCATTAATTTTTAAATTTCATTTAGATCATAAAATACAAGGGGGTTTTTGGGCAAAATCACTTATCAGTTTGTTATATAAGCCATTGATAGGTGGATTATCCTTTATATATATATACATAAATTATAAGAATTATAAGGATTTAATATAATTTTGCTTAATTGGTCATCCACATACAATAATTATGTAGCATACATGAACAAAGTTTGTTTAGTAACATTTTCACTAAAAAATTTCATTTTCTTTGACAAAATTTTTTATTGCAAGTCTGCTTGCAGAAAATATACTTGTAACATAATTCATAAATGTCCATATTATTAAATAATGAACATTTATTGGAGAGGAATTTAGAACAATATGAAAATATTTCTGCTACAATGCAAAAATAACCTGAAACTCCTGAGTATTTGTAAATTTCATAAAGTTTTTTTAATTACATACGTATAAGCGCGTTAAACACAGTTCATTGTGAATTATCCTTGAATTTGTGAATATATAATGAAAAATTTAATATTTTTTAATAATATTATAATTTAGATTTGATTCTGGAACAGATACAATATGTAAGTAATTTTGTTTAAAAATTCATTTTGGTTTTTAGTTTATTTTCAAATTTTCTTGCATACTTATCGGATGAAATTAACTCAAATGTGTAATTTGTTACTTAATGTGCTCATTTACGTACATAATATTTTTATTGCTTTCTTTAATGTTAATTATACGTTTTTGCAAAAATCATACAATTAAAAATCTTCTCGAAATTAATTTTAATAAAATTGTAATTTAATTTTATTAAGGCTTTTAATAAATATCAGTTTTAACTAATATTAAAAAATTTGTTGCATACATTAATGTTTGCTCTTCTTGAATCAAATAGGTACGCATAGAAATATTTTACAATAAAATCAGTATTGCTTTTAAAAATATGAGCTGCTAAATATAATTTTCTAGTGTATAAAAAAATAATTTTTGAACATTAGTACAAAAATATTTTTTTCTTCTTTTTTTATTATTTTAATTGTACATAATAGCTAATATAATTCATATTGTACACTCTAAGAAAATGTAGTACATATTTTTAGTATATTAAGGAAAAAACTCTAAATTATAAAATTAAAAATACGAAATAAAAAAAAATCTTTCTGTAAATAGATTTTCGCTAATAATAAAAAAAAAAAAGAATCAAAAAAAAAAAAAGAAAAATGTGAAAGAAAAAAAAATTATTGTCAGAAGTGGGATTCGAACCCACGCCCTCAGAAGAGGACCAGAACGCCCATTACATAACCTTTTTCAACAAAGGCAAGAATTTTAATCTTGAGTCTGGCGCCTTAGACCGCTCGGCCATCCTGACATATAAAAATTGGTCTACCAAAAATATTTTTCGTCTTGTTTTTTTTTTGTTATTTTTGAATATTCATGAAGATACTAAAAAAGAAAAATGTTGGATTTTAAAATTTTCCTGAATTTTTTTTTTTTTATATTTCAATTTTAGTTTTTTAATATGTCTACATGGTATAGAAAATATTTCATGCAAAATATGAATCATATTTGGAAATAATTAGTAATTTTATTAAAAAATGTGCTAAAATTTAAATAGCGTAAATGTACTAAAGTGTGAAATGGAAATTGTCATTCTATACAGTTTGTCATAACATAATGCATGTATGTATGTGTAAGAGAAAATTAAAGTCTGTTGAAGTTATTCCGCTCTCAATCATTTTGCGTAAAGAAGACCAACATAACACACATTTTAAATTGTTAGCCAAATTAATAATATCAATTATAGCAAAAAATATATTTAGAATAAGAGAATTGTCATACACTATTGTAGCCGTCGGCAAAGTGCGGCCAATGACTAGCATACGGTCCATTCACCTTCAAAATGTGGCCCATCATGCTACTTGCGGGAGAAAAATATATTCAAACGCAACTATTTAAATTTTTCAAAAAAAAATTTGAGAATTCAATCATAGATACGAGTAATAGATATAGGAATATAAAATTCGATACAAATTCATTATTGGTCAAAACAAAACAATCAATAAAGTCAGTTGAAAATGTAATTGTTTTTTTGTAAGTAGGTAATGTAAGAAACTCGAGTGGCCGATACTCATACTCAAATAGTACATTTTTGCCCATAATTCATAAAAGTTTGGCAATGGCTAAACTATTGAATTAACTCATCTGTTATCAAAAGTAGAACAGTTCAAGTACACTATCTAAGATCACATATTATTATATCAACACTTAATGGTTGATTTTGAAGGGATAATTAATTTTTTAAAAAATCACTATGTTATTTCATTCTTCTATATCATTATTAAATAAACTATGGATTACAATACAATTTTAGCTATATTTTTCGTATTCAGTTATGTATTTGTCTTACTGAAAATGTGTTTATATACAGTTATATATTTATACGTACAAAATGTAAAAATGACGTAGATTGATAAATAAACCATGAAGGCGAATTACAGGTGGTTACGGAAGTCGAACGACGCAAGTGGATAAGAAATTTTATTATTCTTCTCCCATCTATAGTGAGCTTTGAAATTTATAGCTATAAATAGTAGCGAACCCCTCTTCTAAAATGGGCAAGAACCTTAATAATCGTATCTTACATCATTTAGTTTTCAGTTAATGGTAGAGGCGAGTATTTATCGTCTATGAGTAATTTTAGCGGTAACTAGACACAAAACTTTTTTAAAGAATTCTTAAATTTATATAAGGAATTTCTGGGGGGTGAGGGTCTGTAAGTATATAATTAAATGAAATTTCATTATAGCAATATTAATTTTGTATTTTATATTCATTTTAATTTATTAAATTCATTTTTGTTTTCAATATTTTCATATATTTTTTTTCTTCTTTCTTTTACATTTTAATAAAAAATAAATCTTAAATTAAATTCTTACTTATATATTAAAAAGAAATCAACATTAAATTCTCATTACAATTTACTTTTATTTCTTTGTTTCAATTAACTTTAATATAAGAACAGAAAAAATGGTTTTTATTCAAAATTTTAAAAGAAATTTTTAAAATTTTTATAAATTTAAAATAAATTTCTATTTTACTTTTTGATTTTACCGCGAACTTGCCCGCGATCATTCAATATTTAAAGCGAATCTCATAATATTTTTACAAAATTCTATGGCATATGAAAAATACATTTATTTTGAGCAAATTTTTTGTTTTTGAGCGTAAAAAGTTTTTATGTATTTTTTTTTTTAATTTTTTCCATTTATAATTTTAAATTCACAGCTTTGTTTTTGATTACGCAGATAGATTATAGTTTTGAAAAACAAAATGTCCGAATAATATTTTAATTTTTGAATACAGATTGTTTGGAAGTGTTCATGAGATTTCAGATGTCTCTTGAGCTTCCGTCGAATTTTTTTAGGGATTTTATTAAGAATTTTATTTGCATTAGTTAAAGAATCGTAAAGGTAATGTGTATGTGGACTGGGTCACTCAAAATAATTGAAAATATTTTTGTTTAAAATTAATAGCATTGAAAATTACTTAAAGTCATTGAAATTTAATTTATATTAAAAATTTAGATTATTTTGCAATATAATGAAAATAATATGGAGGTTCTGTAGACCTCTGTGTTTAATTGAATTGAGTAAATGATCAATTATCAAATGATACTGTAAAAATCACTGTTTAAGGCGTTTACTTATGTAACTATGTGTTAGAAAAAGTTTTTTTAATTCGATATGGGTTTTACTGGGACATATAAAGAAATTCTTCAAACAATCTGTATGTATACGTAAGTAGCTAGCTATGTATTTTAAAAATTTATGTATAAAATTTTTGAGCAAAATATTTATTAATTTTTATTATAGTATATTTTTAGGAGGCTTTATTTTAAAATATGAACACGCTATGCATATTTTTTTGGTATTTTGAAAATGGTCTCAATAATTTTGATAATATTTTTATGAAAATTTCTATTTTAAATATATAAATAGCAAATAATTTATGTACATATATGTACACACAAATTCATAATTATTTCTAATATACTTTCTTATATACTTAATACATGTATATAATCGGATTATATACATATAATATACATACATTGTATTTATATAGGAAGGATATGTGAACATTTTCCAAATTTGATATTTTGTTTTCTACTAATTTTCTTTGTTTCAAAAAATAATTATGTACATTTTTGTTTATAGAACAAATTTATACATCTTTTATACAAGAGTACATACATTATATACATACAATGATAGTATTTATTATATAATTTTAAGTTTTTTTTTTTCATTTTAATTTGTTTTACAAAAACATTATATATTTACAATTAAAATTTCTAAATTTATTTGAATTATTGTACTATGATGCCGAAACCGCTAAACGACCACTTGATGTGCTATTTGAACGACTTCGACTTTGATTTGTTGATCTTTTTTTATCTAAATACCTTTGAATTGGAGGAATTAAGAAAAGCATTATACCACTTATAGTTATGAAACCTCCAGCTAATATAAATCCTGGATTATATGATTCAGTAATATCGTATAACCAACCTATACATATACAAAATAAATTAAGGAAAAATAATAAAAATTATTTTAAGATTATAATTGAATTTTATGTATATGAATATTATAATTTCGTCTTTACAAATAGCAACTGCTTAAATCTAGAAAACTATTCTAGAGTTAATTTGCTATAAATACTATGCTTAATTTATTATAGAATAATTTTATTAAAATTACCAGCAAATGGTGGACCAACTAATGAAGCAATTCCTTGGAATAATAATAAAAGCCCAAAGGCATTTGTTAACTTATCGAGTCCTAATAAATCAACTAATATTACGGATGTTAATCCGACATAGGCACCAATTGTGAATCCGAAAACGGACGCATAAAATGCTAATGTATTAAATGTTACACAAAAAACGGAAAAAGTAGTAGCTAGAATAATAAAAAAAAAACAAAATTAATTTTTTAAAATAATTAATTAAAAAAAAAAAATTTTTAATACCTAAACCACATATTGTTAAACATATATTATAGACAAGCAAACGATTAACCCATGGTTTATCCGATATATAACCTAATATTATCCTTCCAACTGTATTAGCAATTCCAATAATTGATATTAAATAACTTCCTTGTTCTGATGATAAATTTAAGAATTCAGCTTGTGCTGCTAAATAAACATAGGGTATATTGAAACCGATGCTTGTACAAAAATTTGATAAAACAAAAAGTATAAAAATTATATCTCGAAATAATGAAAAATCCATCATTTCTTTGAATGTATCACGCGTTTCTTGTGAACAAGCTGCACAGCCAAGTAAATGCTCAACTTTCTGTATATACAAAAAAAAAAAAAACAAGATAGAGAAAAAAAATTACAAAAATGTTACATTAGAGTTACAAATTTATGGATTATTATTTACTGTCATGCAAGTTATTTTTATAGAAGTTTCTGTCATACACGTAATTCAAGTCGAAGTTACTGTAAGAAAAGTATTTTCAGTATGAATTACTGTCCTACAAGTATTTTAAATGAAAGTTTTTGTTAAACAAATATTTTAAATGAAAGTTACTGTCATACAAGTAACTTACATCCAAGTTACTGTTATGAGAATATTTTAAATTAAAGTTACTGTCACAAATTTATTTTAAATTAATTTTTATTTTTTTTACTTTTCATTTGTACAAAGATACTAATTCATAACACTAATGAGATTTTGCTTTTAAAACTGAGAAATAGTTCGTCCATTTAAGTATTTAGTAACAAAAATTGTTAATACATTTTCAATTATTAATCTAAGAACACGTTAGAGAGCAACTAGACTTACCTCTTCATCAGCCAAAATGGCAGGTTTTGATCTTCGCAAGGATCCATAATGTGTCAATTCACCTTTTGTTGATAGATCTGCTTTGGATTTACGGTACTCAGCAATATTCATTAGGGAACCCTTTTAAGTTATTAGAATTTCAATTAGGAACAAAATTGAATTTACATTTACTTAGTAATTTATTAAAACCATTTTAGGGAGGGAAAAAATATTATTTACTTAAAATTTGGAATTTAAGCACAAATTAATATTAACATAAAAAATTTTGAAATCATACAAAGATTATTTATTTTTAATAATTTCAATTAGACCCACCTGATATAAAATATCTGGACGATACATGTAACCACTACCGGCTCTTTGAGTTTTTCTTTCTCTATAATAACTCTCATTATTATCTAAATGAATATGCGGTTGACTAACAGTAGCACGCATTATATTGTGGCTGGCAGGCGGTGATTTATTAGATATTTTACCATTACTGTTATTAGCAGATGTATAGTTTCCCTTTAATAAAATTTAAAATGTAAAATATTTTGAATTTAAAATTAATTTTCAAAAAAATCAAAAGCTTAATTTTAAGTAACTCAAAATTTTTAAACAAAACTAAGGAGAAAATTTTTGTTTTACATCTTTCAAGATCTAAAACTTACTTACATTAGTTGCTAAATCATAACCAATACTATGAGCTCTTGTAATTGGTGAATCACTTTTTTTTTGTATCTCTAAATTATTTGTATTTGAATATTTTTTTTGTAACGGTTGTAATTCCGCTACATAATTATTACTGGAATGTTGTTGTTCTTGTTGTTGCTGCAATGGTATTTGCCTTTGTGACGGAGGTTTTGGTGATTCTAATGGACGAAACATAGCACCAAATATAATACAATTAAGAACAATACCAGCTAATATAAGACATGCACCACGCCAACCATAATTATTTATTAAATTTTCTGATAATGGTGCAAAAATAAATGTACCAAGTCCAGAACCACAAACAGCAATACCAGTTGCTAAAGAACGATATTTTTCAAAATATGTTGTAACACTAACAATTGCTGGTAAATATATTAAACCAAATCCAAGACCAGTACCAATACCAATTGTAAATATTAATGTTAATACATTTTTTGCAAACATACTTATAATCATACATATTGATGCTAAAATTGCACCAGCAATTGTAACAGCACGACATCCATAACGATTAACAAATGACGAAGATATTGGTCCTGTAAAATGAAGGCAAAAATTTTTTTAAAATACACAATCTAATTTTTTCTAATTTTTTGTTTTAAATTAACCCATTAAAACCCAATTTTTTTAGTTCTTATTCTATTTGTTCCGTTGAGGGGCATGACGCTTTCAACTCTGAAGTAATAGAGGGTAACTATTTTATTCTATTGGGTAATTACTCCCAATTAGTTAGTAAAAAGCATGTCTGAGCTACTGTTTTATATATAGACTGTTGTAGTTAAGAGTGTTGTACTCCTAGAATGAGTTGATATGAGTATTGAAAGGGACATATACTCGTAAATGATACGCAAAAATTGTTATCAATAAAAGAATTATTTGTTCATTTTGACTCTCATTTAGGGATCGTAGTGTGTAATGGATTAATGATTATACACTCCATAATCAAGTAGATTTCTTTAAATTGCCAAGCCATGTTTATTTTAACATGGAATTTTAGACCATTAAATTTAGTTTATCTTATAAGAGCTGAAAAATTTTGTACTAATTCATGAAAAAATTTTAAAAATTATTTAAATTTGCAAGTTTCATTGAATTCCGAATGTACACGAAATGTATTCATATTTAATACTTTCCATTTTCATATACATACTATTCAAACCTGTTAGTTATAAGATTTCATCCCAAAGAGATCAAAGTAAAATTGTATATATGTGCAACATATAGCATAAATGAAGAAAAAATCATTGCTTTATACCCTTAAGCAATTTTTTTACAGTTTGCTGTTGGTGTTAATTTAGAAATCTGGCACCCAATTAAAAAATTATTTTGATGTAAAATTGCAATATTACATTATGTTTAATAATTAACATACATATATGTATGTCAAATATAATTATATGTGTATAAACAATTATAATGTTGTACAAAAAATTTATTTAGTGGCTTGAGCAAAACTATTTTAAGAACTTTTTTTTCTCTCTTTATTAATATTCAACAGTTCACATATAGCATAAAATTTTATGCATCAATTATATTTGCTCGTATAACAAAATGTGATTTTTGTACATACACATGATTATTTTTATAACTCTATTGATTATGTATATTTATTTGGATACTATAATAGAAACTGCTCATATTATAGAATATATCAAAAAATATAATTACGAAATTTTCAAACAAATTCTTTATTTAATCGTTCATTTGTCAAGAAAGCATATACCAATTTGGCACTGCACTCACATAATGTCCATACATATACATAAATGTATGTGACGACGTCATGAATAATAAAATTCATAGAGAAAATTTTGAAATTATTTAAATAGGAAAAATAAGAGCGACAAGGTATTTTTTTAAAAATTGCATAATAAATTTTGAAAATAGAATTTTAATATTTTAAAATATTTTCTATTTTTATTGCATTTAATGTGTACTATTTTGTTATATTGCACATAATTATCGTATATATACACCATGTACTTATAATAATATTTAAAGTTAAAATAAAATAATTTATAATTAAAAAGTAAGTGAACCCTATACTCATGAATCTAATAAAGAAGTGAATCTATTTTGTGAATGAAAATTTTTTTTTGCATCATACACTAGTATATAAGATTTATTTACTTTAAGTGTGAACTACTATGAACTTATTACGTACTGTGAATGAAAATATTATTAAGTACTTGCTTTGATATTGTTTTTGCATCGACATAGCATATAATGTAGACTTTAAGACGGCGGAAATTTTATATATGATTTTGCTTTTTAAAAATACTTTGAAATTTTAATTAGTAAAAGTGACATAATGTAGCTATAATAATATAATTGTAATAATAATAGTAGCCCTTTCAAAAGAATATTATGAATGAAAGTATTTTAAAAAGAATTTTCATTCTTAATTTGTTTGCATAATGTAATCATTACCATAACGGAGATAGTTTTCAGGGAGTTTCAGTAAAATTGCGCCAAATCGCGTTTATACTTATAGTGTACGACAAATTTTCTTATCTTGGTATATAAATGCCTAATAATAATAGGACACAAATATCTCGTAATTTCTAGATTTCTCGTAAACTTATAAAAGAAAATTTAATAAATAAAAATAATTTTTCAAATTTCATAAAATATTGTTTTATATTCTTAAAGAATTTTTTTTATGAAATTCCAATCTAAATTTGCTATTTTTTATAAGTATTTATGTAATACTAAAATTATTTAGAAAATGATGCACTTATGTTTGCGTATTAAAATTACGGTATAAGACCGCGAAAAAACATTTAAATTTAATTTAAATATTTCATTAATTTCACGTCTTTTCAAGAGTACCGATGCTTATTTAATCTGTACGTGAGACCGAATACAGACTAATTAAGGGTTGAGATCGGTAGTGTTAAATTTTAAAACCAATTTAGATTATGAGCTTCTTTTCAGAATGATTCAGCACGATTTTATAATATTAATATTAGAATAAAATATTTGCATATGCTTTAAAAGAATTCATCAAAAAGAAAAATCACCCATAAACTTTTCAAATAATTTTTTCCGTATTGATTTACGGTATAACAAGTTAATCAATAATAATAAATTATTTATGTATGTACAAGTATATAGAATATTAGATTTAAAGATAAATCACAATAATATTTAAAGTATACCATTTTTTTAAAAAATTATTGCTATTTATGAGGGTAAAATAAAATAATCTTAATATTTGAATTGTATTAAGAGTTCAATTCAATTTCATTGATCGTTCGCACCCCATCTTAAATTTATTTAATATACCACAAATATATTGCAAAATTTCTATAAATAAACTTACCTGAACACAATGTAACACCCACAAGTATTGATAGAATCAATGACGTATATCCTTTGCCTTCATTAAAATATAAAAGAAATTCAACATAAAACATACCAAAGGAATATGTAATGCCGTCAGCTGTTAAAAAAGAAAGTTAAAAAATAAATAAATAAAATTTTTAGTTTTTTATATGCAATCTTTTGAATATTAAAATTATTTTTTTTTTTTATCCTTCTCTATTGTTATTTTAGGGAGAAGAAAGAGAAAGGAAAAACGATTCAAACTAGACATATTTTGACATTGAAAATCTTTTATACATTGCTCATGTTAAGCATCACCTCTTGGAGAATTCATCAAACTTTTAAGTGATATCTTTTATAAAATTATTGAAATTCTGTTTTTCTTTTGTCCTTCAAAGTTAAAATAAAAATAAAAAGAAAACAAATTGTTTCAATTTCAAAATAAAAATTTTTATGAAATTTACAAAGTTTTGGAGAACATTTTGTAAGCTTGCTATGTAAAGATTTTTATTGAATTTTTATTGTTCCTATACACTTTTGTAAGAGATTTTCAAAGTCAATATTTTTAAAATAAATATTTTTGCATATGTTTAGGCGAACGAATAATTTAATTTTTCTCTTTTGTGCATTCTTAAATGAATTTCATTTACCCTTACTCTCAAAAGCTATTTATTCAATTATGAGGAAATTGAAAGAAAAAGTTGTTGGTTTTAGAATTAAAAATTAAATAAAACTTTTTTTTGGATTGAAAATAATTGAGAATTTCAAGGAAGTTAATAGAATTTTGGAACGATTTCATTACAATATGAGAGCAAAAATGCTTGTAGATACTTTAAGAACCGTATACTTAGAAAGAAAACTAACTACAAGACTTGGGTAAATAAAAAATAATGTATAGTGAATTCGTTTCTGGCATGTTATTAGTTTTCCAGACCAGTATTTGTCTTGGTTTTTTGGATTATTGAAGTTTTCGTGGAGGATATTTGCTTTCAACTACTTGTTGATAATCTTGAATATACTAAATTTTTTTCGTAATTCTGTAGAGGGGAGAGAGAGTTCAATAAGTTGAAAGTTATTGATCTCCGTTTGCAAAAACTGTAAGGGATTTAGGGTTTGCCAGGTTCAGCAATGCGATAATATTAAAGTAAATATTAAATTTATCTTAGTGTGAAAATATTTCAAACGGGTAATACTATTGCAAACAAAATGTATTTGAACTCATTGTGTCACAGAATCTACATTTGCAAGGTTAATTATTTAATTTCGTGCAGACTCCCGTTAAACAACGACGGTCTTTTTACAACCAAAACCAAAGGTTTTTTGACCTGGAAAAGTTTCCGCCTGGAGCTGTTAAGATTCTTAGCATAGATTACCTGTTTGGTAGCTATGACCTGAATTAAATTAACTTTTAAATCTATATGCTTAAAAAATATTTTTAATATATTTATAGTTTCCGATTTTTATAGTTTTTAATAACATAAGCCATATGGAAATTTTCACTATATTAACATGCAATCATGTACAAGTATATATTTTTTAATTTCACTTGATTATACAATTAAAAACTTTATTTTGTAGTCATACACTTGCCGATTTACTATATATAACTATAATAATTTAAGATTTACGATAATAATTGCGTATACTATATAGTGTGTTCCTCTTAGATGCGTGAAATTTTTAAATTAAATTTGTATTTCAACATTTTTAAAATATTTATTTCCGCCGGTAAATCTATTTATTATCATCTTTCTACATTGAGAGTATTCTAAAATTGATAGTTTCCTCACAAATTAATTAAATTTTCAAGCTTGCTGAAATAATGAAAGAAATTTAATATTTTTAATTAAATTTTATTTCATTTAAAAATTTTTTACATTCTTCCGATGTACAAACATGAATTTTATGTAGTAAGAAAATCTTTATTTAGAGTCTTATATTTCTAAAAAATAAAAAGGTTTATTAGGCGAATTTTTGTTATTCAAATAAAATGTATACGGTTGCTCTTACCGGTATAGGTGAAATGTTTTAGGTGAAATTGCTATTAATTTCATAATTTCGCTGAATTTTAATAAATTTAATTTGATATTTTTTATACAGAATTTTAAAGATTGAATTACTTAATTCTTTAATAAAAAATTAAATTGAGAAATGTTTAGAAATTTCATGAATTTCGTCGAATTGTAAATACTGATATCAATTTTAATTAAAGCCTTTAATTTTAACTTAAACACCAAGTAAGCAAGTCAGTTTTTATAATACGTTTTACTTCATATTGATGACTTTCACCTCAATACAGAATTTATACACACCTACTAATTTAAAATCTAGTCAATTACTTATTTAATATTTTTATGACTGAACGAATATTAAACAGAAAATGCAAATTACTTCTTTAGAGAAGAGAATTATTTAAATTAGATTATTAAACGCAGATCAATTTAAATTTTTTAAGATTCATCTCATATTTTATTACTCGTACTTATGATAGTCTGAATGGAAAATTAAATTAAATTGCATCATAATTGAAATGCAAATCATATAAATGGGCGTTAAGCATGTGTGACAGTGTTTAAAGCGGCTATGATTGCTTTTGATATTTTGAATGACATTAACTACACAATACAAATTTCAATTAGATTTAAATTGATTTATAAATTCGCCATTATTATGATTAAAAATTTAGATATTCGTTCCATTTATTTTTTTTAGAATAAGTGAGAACTTGAATTATTGTTGTATGAAATTGGTATGGCAAAATTATTCATGACTGAAGTGTTGAGTGGCTCATAAATATAAAAAATAAGTATGAATTTCAAAATTATTCTAATATTTGAGCGCACTATAATATTAGTGATTTATAACAGTATAAGATCTTCAAACCTATTCAGATAAATAAGTGGTAATAAAGAAGAAAAAGTACTGCTATGTACTTTTCATTATGCTGAAAAAATTTCGGGTATGACAGCACAATTACTCATAACCACATTAGAAATAAATAAAAAGTACTTAAATATTTTGGCACTTAAGAAAATTTTTCAATAAGCAAAATTTTGTTTCAAATTTCCGTTCTGAATTTTATTAATCTTCAATAATTTAATAATGGTAATGCAAATTTTATTGAATTTTTGTAATAAATAAAATAAATTCCTAATGTATTTTTCAGTTTTTTATTCGTAATACTTTGCGTAATAAACGCAAAATGTTTATTAATGCATATAAAAATTTATATTAATGTTTATTACAAAATTTTTTCAAAGTACTTATTACTCACGATTGCTTAATACCAATAATATGTAATTTTAATTTACATTATTTACTTTCCAAGAAGTCTAAGTATAAGGAATAGCTATATACGTGAAAAACTTAATGGGTTGTCGAAATTATTATCGAGTTTAGTGACTATTAAAAATTACTGACTGCCAAAATTTTTGAAAAAAATGTAACTGGTAATATCCGAAATTTTAAGTTCTTAAAAATTTTTAATTCTCTAATATAAATTCAGATAGTTCTAGATGGGCTACATACCTTAAATGAGTGGAACTCGATAGAAGTTTAAAGAATGATACATGCTGTTTAGAGTTATCTATTGTAGTATCATACGACTCTTAAGAAGGTTTTTAAGAGGTCTAAAATATTTTAAGAAGTTGATCAGTTTCTAAAAGAAACGAATAAAAGAAAAGATAAAAATTATCGAATATAATCAAGTGTCATACTATCTAAATTGTCGTAATAAGCTAATTGATCTAAGACATGTTTAAATATCTTGAAATCTGAAAATGTTCTAAAAATCAAGGGGGTATGGTCCTGCGAAATCTTTCATTCGTATGATAAATTCAGGCTGTCACAGACTCGCAATATTGTCTAATTGATAATATTATTTTGCTACATACGAGCAGAAACTATACAGAATTATGTTTATCAATAAATAATTTTTAAAATATAAATGTTTTTTTATTTTTTTTTTTGAAAAATATATGAAAAACTTACTGACAATGTGTATCATAAATGAAGCAAAAGCAACAACCCAACCCCAACCACCATCTGGTGGTGTAGGTAATTGATCATAATCATTATCATCATCATTATTGTATGCAACAATATCACCATTAACTCCATTATTTGTATTATTTTTACGACGAGATCCTGCTGGTGCTCCGTGTGTCATTATGATTCCGTTTTTGTTCTTTTTTTCTTATTATCCTTTTATAATTTTTATAAATTTCTTATGTATTGTAATATTATGTGGTATATAGGTGTATAATAAATATTATACAACTTTAGTAATAAAATATTTTGTGTTCTATATGCGAATATTGAATTGTAAATATATAAATTTTAATTAGGATATAGATAGGATTCTTGTTTTTTAATATTTTAATTAAGTTGATTATAAAATTAAAACGAAAATGTGTACGAGGATAATAATATTCCTTATTATTTTAATTTCTATTATATTATGGGTGTATGTGTATGTATATAGTTTCTTATTATTGATATAAATAATTTGAATTTGAAGTTAAAGTGCGACTGTATAAAATTTGTCTTTTTATTATTGTGATACTTTATTTTAATGGTTATTTAATTTTTTTTTTGCTTTATATATAGATGATTGCTTTTGCGACAATGGAAGTCCTTGATATTGTTTCACTCTAATTTTAGTAAATTAAAGTGTTTAATATTTTTTATGTGTATAAAAAGAAATAATGAATTAGTGTGTAAGAGCACGATAATAAGTTTCATTAAATTCTTAAATATGCTCCTTAAATCTACACACAATGTACATGCATACACATATATTATACATACATATATGCGCGTATATATATTGAGATGGTTGAATGAATATTTCCTTTAACTGCTATATAATTATTATTGAAATGCTACTGTTGTTGCTGCTGTTGTTGTTGATGTTGATTTTATTGCTGATGTTGCTACTTTTATTATTGTTACCGTTATTTTTTGGAATATATCCAAATAAAAAATAAAAAATAATTAAAAGAAAAATACTTCGTCCTTGATGATATTGAATTTTGTACATTGGGTTGAGTTTTTTTTTTTGTTTTTCTTTATCTCTTCCTTTTTTTTTAAATTTCTATTAAATTTTCCTCTTTTTTGTTCTAGTTGTTGTTTTTTTTTTGGTTTCTAATGTATTTGATTCGTGATATGTCCAATTTATTACGTTCTTTTGATATGAAAAAAATTGAATTTTAAAATTACAAGGATATTTGGCAGTAAATCAAAAATATTCTTATGTATATGTATATATAGGATTCTCTCCACAACTACGTTTTGATATGGTATAGAAGAATTTTTTTGCAACTTTATGAGTTTTCAATTAAAATTCTGAAATGAAAATTAAAATAAAATTTTTTTAGTTATTAAATAATTTAAATTAAATTTAATTTTAATTACTAGTATGTAAAATATTATATGAGAAATTAAATTTTAATAGTGGTAAACTAAAATATAAGAGAATATAAAAAAAAATTTAATTTTATAATAAAAAAAAAATTATTTATATAAAAAAAATTATTGTCAGAAGTGGGATTCGAACCCACGCCCTCAGAGAGGACCAGAACGCCCATTTAACCTTTGGATATAAAGGTAAGATATTAATCTTGAGTCTGGCGCCTTAGACCGCTCGGCCATCCTGACACATATACACTTTACCCTCTTAAAACATATTTTAAATGCAACATGAAGAACAAAGTAAACAGAAAACGTCATTAAATTCGGAAAATTTTATTTTTATTTCCCACGTTTTATTATTATAATTTTATAATTTTATTTTTACTAAAGTCTGAACGATGATGCCAAACTATATAAAAAGTACAAGTATAAAAAGAAATTTTAAGAACAAAATTTTAAGAACAAAAAACGAAAAAAAGAAAAAAAAATAAAAATGTTAGAAAATAAATTTGTAAACAAAATTTGTTTTAAAAATAATTCAAAAGCAAAAAATAAAAAAAAAATTAATTCTCTTTTTTTTCTCTTCTCTCATTTAAACAGTTTTACTACACAATGACGTCATGCAAATAAAGTTCATGATCCCGATTAGTTTTCTGACGACATTCACATTGACATTTTGTAAAGAGAATAACAAAAAATATTAGATTATCTTGAAATTTTGAAGCATAAATTTAATACAGTTATTAGTACTCTCCAATCAGTAATCATTTGAAAAAACAAGTTTGATAAAGAAAAAATAAACTGTCACTGACCTTTGCCAAAATTTAAAAAAAATTTTGTTTGATATTATTCTTACTGTATTCCGAGTGTTTTTTTTAATCATATTATACAGATTAGACCAAAAATAGCAGATTTCAGGGCATGTTCATGAAACAATAAAAAAGTGGGAGAGAGCATCAAATCGTTCCGGGTTTTGTACAAATTATAAGGCAATGGCAATTATTTTAAAATATTTTAGGTGAACAGTTAATATACTATACGAGACAATCTGTTATGTCGAAAATACTATAAAATCTGTTCGAATTCTCGTAACTATAAAATTAGTTCAAATTAGCTTCTAGTATGTGAATGAGCGATTGATTCTTAAGCGTTACTGCAACGACGTAAAATAAATTCTGTAATACTAAGATTATAGCGATTAAGTACACAAAATTAATAGAACATAGTCGGAATTAAGAACCCCTATAATCCTCTATATAAGATCCGTTTACAGCGATGTTTTAAAAGAGTTTAAAGACTTTTTTAAATTTTGCGAAAACCTTTATTAAATTTGTGCAATAAAATCAATTCGCCATAAGTACATAATTTTTCAGAGAACAAAATAAGAGAGAGGAAATAACTATGACGTGATCATTTTTCTTCAATAAACTTTTTCGTAAAATATTCTTTTATCCTATTTATGCAACTTAAGTTTATTATCGCGAATGAACTTCGTATATGTGTGTGTATATATAAATATATATATACTTGATTATATGAATATTACATTTACTTACTAAATGATTTTCATGACGATTTTCTTAACGATCTCTAATATCAACGCCAATCATATACAAAATAATTGGTAAAATTAATATTTTTCGAATGTGTGAGTGTAAAAAAGCAATTTAGTGACTTTTTCCTAGAAGTGAATTCTTCTTATCATAGAAAGTATACTTGTAGTGTTTTGGACACATTTATTATTTTCAAGATCACATGTGATGTTGCGAGGTACAAAAAAAAAACCAACAAGTTTTTGATAACACTGTAATTTTTTTTTATTATAAAATAAGAATTGTGAATGGGCGTTGATAGCTATAATAAAAAAAAAATATTGTATAAATTTGAAAAATACAAAATCGTAGATCGCTGTTGACGCGAAATAATAATATTATTGCGTTTAGGTACATATGATTATGGTCTTGAACAATGACAATTAAAGGCGCATTAAGAATTATTTTTAGATTTTTATTCATAAGAATTGAAGCAGTAAAATGAAGGAGCATGGCAGTTTTTTTAAATCTGATAAATTTAATGATTGTTTCTATACAAATATATTTAAAGAAATTGGGGTCTATAAAAATCATCACTGGATTCAAGAAGATATTTTATGAATGAATCGTTAAATAAGTGTTCATACTATTTATATACAAGAATGATTTGATGTTAAGAATTAATTTGAACTTTAAGAATTCTATAAAAATTAGAATGTACTAATTAACTTTTGTTAAGAATTAATTTATTTTATTAATTTATTTAATTAAATCAAAATAAATTTAATAAAATGCTATATTACTTTATTTATTGGGTTAATTATTAACTATTTCTTGGTATTATTATATTTTAGGTTTCAATTAACATTTTAATCTTATATTTCTTAAGAAAATTCAAAAATTTAGTTGAAATAGCAGTGTTATAAAGTTTAGTCATGCTCACTTTCCAACACCATTTTAAGAATTTGGACATTGGCTGAATTTCGTGGAAATTTGTTGAAATCGATATTATTAAAAATTGCTCAACAAGCTTTAGATTGCTTCAAATACTTTATTCCGCAGAATTAATCTGAATAATCTGAATGAGTCTGGCAATGCTATTAATGATAATATTTTATGTATTATATTATTTAGATTGACATATTATTAGCAGACAACAAAATTTAAAAGCTAATTTTCGCATATAAAAATAGATTTTCAATTTTATTCAAATTTGTTTTTACTTTCTTGTTTTTTATTAAATACAAAACAACTTGCCGGATTACTCGGATGTCGTGTGTTGTTTGTTATATATGCATGCAAAGATAATCATTAAATTGTAAAAACTTTTTCTTGTATGTTTGAAATTTGTTAAATAAACTGTTATTAAAATTATTTTAGTTTTCATATGCAAGGAGTTTTATTATAAAACAAGAGAAATAATGACGATGATTTGGAATTTTTCATATTATTTTAATAGTAAGTAACTACAAGGATTTTTGATGTAAAGTCTGGTAAATGTTTAGTTTCTTTTCAGAAATGAAAAATTTCCTTGAACTATATAGACAATATAAATGACGCATGTGTGATATTCCGCAGATAAAGCAGAAACTAGTTTAATATTCTTCAAATAAAATTTATTATACATGATTCAAATAGGTCTTCAAATTGAAAAATTAAATAAATTTTAAAAATTTCCTCCTAATTATTATAAATAAAGAAATAAATGGGAAGAAATGTTTGTAGTCAATGTGGCAATTCCATTTTATTTGTTATTTTATAGGAAAATTTATTTACTGTAAACAATGTTAAAATTTAAGTGTTTTATTTATTATATAGAAAATATTGAAATTAAAATTTTTTTTATTATACGAATTAAATTCTTAACATTTTGTATAAGTAATAAAATTTTTCACATACATACATACATGTGTACATAAATAACCCACACATGTTTTATAATTTTTTTTTCATAAATTTTATTAAAAATTGCATTAAATTATAATATTTAAGTATTCTTGAATATTTGAAAATTCTTTTGAATTAAAAATAAATTAGTTGTTCAAAATGGTTAGAATAGATTCCCAAGCAGACGTTTTTTAGGCAAGAATATACAAAAAATATGAATATTAAATTATTATAGAAAATTTACAAGTATTCATAAAAATGCAACCATGTTGTAAAATGATAACAATTTAGTAGCAAATTCGGGACTTTCGATTATTTTTAAATTTAATGTGTTATTATAGAGTATAATTACTTAGTCAGCAGTTTCTAAAATTTTCAATACAATCTCTTATAGAGTGATTAATTATATTTTAACTTTAAGGTTAATTTAATTAACTGCTACAATTTGTAATTAATATTTACAATTACACACCTTTCAGCATACAAAATAATATAATTGAAATTATAAAAGAATTTAATTTAATTTTCTGTTTGTATGTACACCTTCTATAAGAACAAATTCAAAAATTTTTTCAAGAATATGTGAAGCTTTTCTATAATCCATAAGCCATTAATCAAATTGCAATAAAAAGAAATTGTAGCGCCCAAGGTATTAAGCATCTGTTTTTAAAACAATTGCTCATAAAATATTTGGGTATTTACGTATGTGTGTATCAGTAAATATTTAATTAAAAATATTGATTAAAAACCGGTTATTCACTATAATTTTACAATAACCAATTACCTATTAATTATTAAATGCAAGTATCCGATAAAAGAAAAATGATTTTATTAAGTGCAATCGATTTTTTCTTTGCTTTTTATCAATGGCTGACCTATATATTCTTGCATTCGACAATCAATGGTGTTCGTGTGTTGGTGGGTGATTTATTTATTAAATTCATTAAATTGTGTTGTTCAATCTTGTGTAGCAAAGAATAGATTAATTCGCAAATTATTTAAAATGATTGACAGCTATGCCAATTTATTAATAAAGTCTAAGAATTTTTGATGTAAAAAAATTTTCAAGTGTACATATTATGTGTCCCTAGATATTGATAGACATTGTATATATATCAATAATTGGACGTTATCAACAGACTTCAAAAATTAAATTTAAGTGGAAATTTTGTTAAAAATTAATTTTGATAATTTTTTTTTCTAATCTATATCACCTAACAAATAAAATTTGTATTAAGGTACTGCGAATACTTTGATAAAGAAATGATTTTTAAGTTACTTATATTAAATTTATATGTTTTTCATAAAAAAAAAATATTATTTATTAAAATTTATGGAGGCATCATTGAAAAAACACTTGAATATTTGAAAAATCAAAAAAATATTATCAAATTTTATGAGTCATTATAGTGAATTTATCGGTAGGAATGGTGTTAGCGGTAATATTTTAAATATCTCTTTCAAATCTGGTTAGAAATTATTTTAACAAGTTATAGTTAGTAATAATAGTTCGAT